GTACAGAATACATATCGATCAAGTGTCGCAAAAAAATCAACACGTCAAATAAGAAAAAACGGGAAACAATGAGAATATGTATATATATATAGATATAGATAAATAGAGAGAAACGGTTAATATCAGATTATTTATAAGATGGTCAAACAATCATCAAACTTGCGGAGAATGGACTTGCGGACTAACCATGTAGTAATCCTGAGAAGGGGATCTGCCTGTCACAGATACATTCTGCACCAGAGTTCTATTGCTCGTCTGAAAGTAGGTGACACATTCTAGTTTTACTTCATTAGCCTATAAGTGAGAGATTCGTTGTATCGTTTCGTTTTTCTTTTCTAAATGTCTTTCTTTCTGTTTCTCTTAATTGTCTGTTCGGCTTTGGTTCGTTTCGTATACTTTCGTATACTTCACGTAACGTGTGCTTCTTCGTGTGATTGAACATTTATCGACCATTGACTGTGCGAGACAGACAAAGTACGGACAGAGAAAAAGGGGGGGGGGAGAAAGAGAATACAGTGACACAAAGTGAATTATATAGAGTATAGAAATAATTGTTAGAGACCTGAGAAACAGATAGTGATAGTGACATACACACACACATACATACACAAAGAGAGAGAGAGAGAGAGAGAGAGGGGGGGAGAGAAAGTGAAAGAGAAAGAGAGAGAGAGAGAGAGAGAGAGTGAGACAGAGAGGAAACAAGTGTCATCGCGAATAGTTCATTAAAACTACAATTCGTATGTTGTGCAACTCGTACATTTGTGCGAGCTATCGCGACCTGTTGTAACAGCTGCAACAGACCAACGATGCCATTCTCTTTATCGCGCTGCTCAGCACAAGTCGCCGTGACAAACGCATACATTCGATATAATTAAAAAGTTGGCTGTACAATCATCTTACAGAGTGTTTTGGGAACTCTTCGACGGGTCGTAAATAATTCCCTTATCACCCTAATGAAACGCGATCGACCATTAATATCCGAGACTTTGCGTGTTTTGTTAAAAACACACACTCCAAGATGAATAAAAAGTTGAATAAAAAGATGAGAAAATATACGCGAGCTTGGTCGAGTACGTCTTTCCGAAGCTCGCCACGACCAAGAACAATATGTCCCGCGAGGGACGAACTCGGCGCCCTGGAGAAACGACCAACGACGATGTATGTCGTCGTCGTCGCTTTGAAGTGCCGAGGTGATTGCCATAGTTAGATAATACATGAGAACATCCGAGAGAGCCTTGAACGCGAACGATAAGCGTCGCGCATTTCGTTCGGTTTCGTCCGATGACGTCAGTTCGCGCATTCGTAGTGCGGCGGAATCGCGGCAGCCGGAGGATGACACTATTGACGTTCCTTCTTTCTTCCTTTTCGGTCAACTGAGACCGAAGGGGTTACGTTCAGTTTGCTCGCAGCCGAAAAATGAATGCTACCCTTTGCGCAACGTGCGCGATTTCGGATCTATATCAATATTCTGTCGCATGAAACTTGGCGGGTTAATTCTATTGTCATCACGATCCTACGAAAATTAAAGAGTCCGTCGCATCGGCGCAACTCACTCTCTCAACCGGGAACAATCGATACAAATTGGAAGTTCCTCCAACCTTCAAGAATAATTCCCCGAATAATTTCTCGAAAAGGGTAGCTTAAATCGCGCCAGACTCTTCAATTTGTTCGTCGCGCACACACAGTAAAAAACATTCTGTACTCGTGCTGCTCCTTGTTGAAATGTTTATGTTGAATTTTTAACACAGCATTGTGTTAATTTAACATATTGCGTTTATATCATTTCAACATTTTGTGTTGTGTCGATATTCAACGGGTGTAAATGTTCGACATTTTATACTTCCGTGTCGATTAACGTATTAATTTTGGACATAACAATACTTTCCAACACGTTCACCTTGCGTTAAATAATACAAAATTCTGAGCGGGACCGTTCGTAAAATGCGTGATATTTAACACAACATTTCTTACTGTGCATGGTGATTTGAGTACGCGGTCCTAGCGGCGCGTCAAATTCGCAATTGCCGTCGCGGAACTGGCATGAACGTAAAATTATTTACAATCGTCACAACACGACAAGGCTGTTGATGTGGTTGAACAAAGCGAGACGAAAACGCGCGGATTCGTCCGCGTCGTTTGACGCCGTCTGCTTTAGTCGCGCGACCGTGGAGTTTTCCGCTTCAACTGAAATCGATAGGAATAGCAGCTAAGGCCGCTATAAGAACAATAGCCAATGACAAGATGAATCTTTTACCGCCGTCGAGTCTTACACTGTGCAACAATGAAAGTTCGTGCCGCCGGCTAATTACGAGTTCCATAAGAAGCGAATTTAGACGGAGGTATGGACTGCTTACGAGCGAGTTATCGCGGTGCGTTACGCAATACGTGAAGGATGCTCGTTTAACAGTGAGGAGCGGGACGAGTCATCGCGGAATGTGTAAAGACGGCCGCGAGAACGGGAGAAAAACTGTGTGTGAGCGAAGAGAAACACGAATCGCGTGCTCTATATCGCGCGACTCGATTTAACAGCCAGCTTAACGCCACCGCTCGGACACGCGGAACGCTACTTCATGGGCGGTGTTTCACGGTCAGTTTGCGAAATAAAGCTCTCCTGGGGAGAATAATGTCCGATGCTCGTTGACCGGCGAAGCATAAACGTGATGCGATTCGGACAGTTTGGAGAAGAGGGTCAGACACGGGATTCCGGAGAATCCTGCAAAGACGCGCGGGGATGAGAGCAGCGTCCGACGTATAATCGTGATTACGAGGACCAGGTGCACAGTGGCCGAATGTGAGGTCGGGAATAAGAAGACAAAACGGAGAGACAGATAGAAATATATATATATAGAGAGAGAGAGAGAGGGAGAGAGAAAGAGCCAATAAGATAGAGAAATTGGCCGAGGACTGCGTGGACCACCGCTAAGTTGGTTCTGGCTGTTTATGGAGAGAGCTTTCTACGTGGATGCAAGCGCTGTATAGGGGATGAAAAAAGAATATATACGTATAAATATATATAAATGTGAATTTATATATATTTACACACATATGTACTACGTATAATACGTGATATACGCAAAATACGTGTTTAAGTTGAAAACTCGTCGATGGAAGAAGTAACGAGGAAATTCGACTGAATCGAACCACCGTGATGGTGGTGGGTTCTAGTTTTCCCTACGCATTGGTCACGACACTTGCGATCTTCTTGGAGAGACGGGGAAGAGGAAGAGCGAGGGTGTCGCCAAGGGAGAGCTGGGATAAGATGAAACTTTACTATACGACTCTCATAAAAGCTACATCGCGATTGATCGGGTCGAATGGACCACGGAAAAATTGGGCAACATCCACAGATTTACATCTCTTACGATCCACGTGCTACATTCGTATGTATGTTCACGAATATAGGCACGTTCCGATCGGACGGATCCCGTGAAAATCTTTCATGCGACAACACACGCACCTGATCCCAACTCGTTCGTCTCTCCCCCGCATCTCGCGTACAGGGCTGGGGGGGGGGGGG